GATAGATACTGTGAAGGTTGTATTAATTTACAGTTACAGTGTCTTTTCACCACTTGGACATCTGGAAATAACATAATTGATGATTTTATTCAACAATCTCAAATGAAATTATCTCTGCCAAAATATATTTTAGAATGGATACCTTTTGAGCAATTTGAAGATATAACAAAATTAACTGAAGGTGGATTTAGTTCGATTTTTACTGCTACATGGATAAGAGGTCATATAATTGATTACAATGAAAATAAAAAGGAATTTAGTTATCTTGGAGGGCAAGATGTAGTATTAAAAAGTTTAAATGATTCAAATAATCCAGGGAAAGGCTTTTTTGATGAGGTTGTTAATTGTCATTTAAAATAAAATAAACAATACTACATTATATAATACTAATTGATTTTATATTTATTTTCAGGCAGTGAATTATTGCAAACTTAATTCAGTGTTGATTGTTGATTGCTTTGGTATAACTAAATTCCCAGATAATGGAAATTATGCAATAGTTTTAAATTATCATTCAGAAGGAAATTTAAAGGATTATTTACAAAAAAATCATCATAATTTAACATTAAAAAACAGAATTACAATTTTTAATGATCTATGTGAGGCATTAAATGATATACATGACAAAGATTTAATCCATTGTGATTTACATAGTGGTAATATATTAACAAGTGGAGGTGGTTGTAATATTACAGATTTAGGATTATGTGGACCAGTTGATGAAAAATCATCAAATAAAGTCTATGGAATTGTATCATATATTGCACCTGAGCTATTTAGAGGTGAAAAGAACACAAAAGAAACAGATATCTATAGTGTTGGGATGTTAATGTGGGAAATATTTGCAGGTTGCCCACCATTTGATGATAGAGCTCACAATCATCACTTAATGTTTAATATATGTGCAGGTTTACGACCACCAATATTACCTCAAATGCCTGATGATTATGCACGAATGATGCAGAGGTGTTGGGATGCGGATCCATCAAAAAGACCAACTATTGGAGAACTTTGGGAGTTTAGTTTTGAGAAATCAAAAGAAGTTTTTAATAATAGTAATAATATCAGTGATGGTAATAATAGTATTATTACTAGTAGTGGTAGTAGTTTTTCGCAACAAGTACACAAATCACATCCAGACGCATACCATACAAGTAGAATTTTAGATGAAGAGATTGCCAAATATAAAGGGTTGAAAAGTTATACAAGTAATGAAAATAATCTTGATTATAACAAAGGTGAATAAAAATTTCATTATTAATTAATTGGAACTACTATCAATTACTAATGATATTTTTTAATAAACATTAGATTCAAGTAATAATCGTAAAAGAAGAAATGTTGATGAATGACTAATTTAATCTCCACCATAAATAAATTTATTCATTATAATTATTTAACTTTTTATTTTATCTTTATTTATTTCTTAAAGCTAAATTATAACAATATTTTGAAATAATAAACGTTTTACAGTTATGATTCTTATTAAATGGTGATATTTAAGGTAGCATTTGGTTAACGCCGATTACAGCTTGACTTTCGGCTACTCTTGTCAATTAATTTCAATAATTCAGTGCTTGTCAATTAATCAGTTTATGAATTTTATTTTGGTTCACCCTAGATGAATTTGTAAGCGCACTTAATGGTTCCAGAATAACCATAAAATGACTCTTTTACAAAGTTATTCACTTGTGGTCGATTTATTTCAGTCGTTTACCCTTGTTTATGTTCATTGGCCGATTAGTTTGCTTGCAAAACAACTTACGTAGCTTGTTTATTCATTTTCTATTACTATATTTATTATTATCTTTGTATTTATTCTTATATAATATATGTATGTGTTATTTATTATTATGAACGGGGAACAACTTCTGGCCTTCGGGTCTTCCTAAATACACAATAAACATTCTAATGAAATAAAACTCTGTAATAGAATCATCATTTTAAATAAAAATTGTCAATGAACTTTTAAAAGTAAAAATGTTGTTTATTTTCTTCATTTACAGTATAGAGCTTTGATGAAAGCAGCAAATGTAGAGAGTTTTGGTAAAAAAAAGCCACGTTTTATTTGCTTTAGTGAGTAGCAAAGGTTAAGAATACATTGGTTAGCTAATGAGTGTTAACAACGATTAGTAACATAATTTACTTTAGCGAGTAGACAAGGATTTAATACTAACATTTAAATGTTGACAACGGTTAGTGAAGAAGTGTTATCCAAAGGTTAAGGGGAAAATATTATTGTAATCGTAAACGTAAGGCTCTTAAGCAGTTGCTTAAATTTTTTGTAAATAAACCAAAACGAGCTTGCAATTGGCCAAATAAGGATAAACGACTGAAATAAGCGAATAAAAGGAACTTTATAGAAGCCTCTATCTATGCTTTGTAAAAGAGCCTTCTTTATGTGCTTACAGATTCGCCGAAGCTTTCTAGCTATATAGGTAGGTACAACAAGCGAGAATCAATAAAAATTCGTAAACTAATGAATTGACAAGCACTGAATTATTGCAATTGGCTGACAAGAGTAGCCCAAAAAATATGCCGCAATCGGCAATATCACCATTTAACAACAATTAAAAAAGTTAAACAATTATAATGAATAAATTTATAGTGGAAATCAAGTTATTGGTAATGATTAATGGATGATAATCTCCAAACAATATTTTTATTTGCCTTCAGTATTTAAGAGAAAAGAGTTAAAATCAATATCATTTAATGAACTATCATTACTTTTATAACTTTTTAAGCTTTTTGATTTAGCAATCTCTTTATCCAATATTCTACTTGTATGACATGCATATGGATGCGATTTGTGTATTTGTTGTGAATCACTACTCTTACTACCAGAAATATTATTACTATTATTATCATTAAGAGTTTCTTTATGTTTATTTTTAGCAAAATCATAAAGTTCTCTAATAGTTGGTCTTTTTGATGGACCCACATCTCAATACTTCTTCATCACTTGTGCATAATCACCAGGCATTCCAGGTAATATTGGTGGTGGTTGTAAACCTTCACATATATCAAAAATTAAATGATGATTATGAGCTCTATTGTCAAATGGTGGATGGCCTGCAAATATCTCCCACATTAACATTCCAACACTATAAATATCTGTTTATTTTGTGTTATTTGTATTATTTGTGCCTCTAAGTAGCTCAGGGGCAACATATGATATGATTCCATATATTTTATTTAATGATTTTTCATCAATTGGTCCACATAATCCTAAATCTGTAATATAACAACAACCTCACTTTATTAATATATTACCACTATGTAAATCACAATGAATTAAATCTTTTTCATGTAAAAAATGTAATGCATTGGATAAGTAGTAAAAAATTGTAATTCTGCCTTTTGACGTTAAATTAGAATGATTTCTTTGTAAATAATCCCTTAAATTTCCTTCCAATAAATGATTTAAAACAATTGCATAATTTCCATTATTTGGGAATTTAGTTATACCATAGCATTCAACAATTAGTGTTGTATTGTTTATTTTTGTTTTAAATGACAAATACCAACCTCATCAAAAAAACTTTTCCCTGGATTGCTTGAATTATTTAAACTTTTTAATACTACTGTTTGTCTTCCAAATAACTAAATTCCTTTTTATTTTCATCATAATCAATTATATAATCTTTTGTCCATGTAGCGGTATAAATTGTACTAAACCCACCTTCAGTTAATTTTGTAATATCATAAACTTGCTCAAAAGGTATCCACTCTAAAATATTTTCTGGTAGAGATGATTTCATCTGACATTGTTGAATAAAATTATCAATTATGTTATTTCCAGATCTGTAATGTAAACTGACACAACCTTTGCAGAATCTATCAGAGTATCTTGTCAATTTACATTCATTACATTTTTTTGGTTTGCCCAATTCATAAATTGCATTATTTAATTCGAATCTACAAATAAAACTTTCTTTACAACATTCTTTTTCATTTTCAGAAAGCTTCTTGTTTTTTTTTGACTAATGAAAAAAAATAATCTTTTCTACTTTCTTTATCAGAATTAACAAAAGCATTGTTATACATTTCATTACTAATTTTAAATACAAGTACCCTTCTTTCTGATGATAATAATGATAATAATTTAACATATGACATTATATAAAATAAATGTTTTTGATTAATCTTATTGTTGGGAAAATGAGTTTTTTCTAAAATTAGCTTTGAAACGGTTCGGAAAATATGATTCAAGAGATTAAAGAAAATACGATCATGTCTATAGTTGAAAAGTTTTTTAATGAGCTATTCATAAGATTTTTTTTATTTTACCAAACTATGTATATTATATTGTATATTGGGTGCTTGAATGTGAAATTCTGATTGGCATATCTCCAATGTTTTTTTTTTGAATAGGTAAGCGATTGGATTGGAATTGAAAATGTTAAATTGGTAAAGAAATCAAAATTTGACTTACAGTTAATTACCCCTCTGTTTGGTAGTTTTCCTTCCCTTCACAGGTAGAATGATGCCCGACTGGGTGTCACGCTGACTGGTGTTAATTGGTTATTTTAATTGCATCGAACAGCATCAAAATGAAGTTGATAACCAATTGCTCCAACCAATTTGTATTGGTTCTTTTTTTAACACCATTTTGAAATCAGATTGAATATATTTCTACTACTTTCATTCCAATATAATATTAAGATCAATTAATTTACATATTTATATTATCTGATTATATAATACGGATTTATAATAAATATTTGATTGACGATCCGTCTATGAATCGGCGAACTTTAAATAAGGATTGGCGGAGTAAAGTAATATTGGAAAAAAAAATGTAGAGATGAGTGAAATTTTCCATATATAAAAAATTTTTACATGTTATCTATTACTATGATTGTATAACAATTTTCAATTAAAGATGTAGGAGATTACACTTGACAAGCTCTTATGTTTGTTACTAAATATATTGTTGTTATTTAATATATATATGTGTGTGTAATAAATATATATGATATAAATATATAATATACTAGTTATTCATTCATTCGTTCATCTATAATCAATTTACTTTTGATTCTGTTTTTTGTAGCTTTCAATTAGATTCTTCAATTCAACACAAATACTTTTGGTTTTTTTTAATTTTTCTTGCATATCCTTGACAAATTCTTCACAGTCTTTAATTTCTAGATTTGATACCAATAACTCATATCTTAATTCAGACAAGTTGACTTCTGTTTCTTTTCTTTCATTGCTAATTTCTTCATAGACACATTTAGAGTCGTTCAACTTAATTTCTAACACTTGATATTCTTGTTTTAATTTTATTAATTCTTCTTGCTCTATCCTAATTGTCATTTCCAACTGACGTAATTCATTAAGAGATTCTATAGTTGGCGGTGGTTGTGTCAATGCAATTCTTTTATGTTTATTATCAACAGATGATTCTAGCTTTTCTTCTGATCCTTTGCGCTTAATATTAGAAGTTGTGGTAGATCTCTTTTCATTAACTTTTGAATCAGATGCCTTAGTGGTGACAGTAGGTCTGGTAGCAGCAGCAGGTCTACTAACACTAGCCACATTAGTAACAACGGAAGGATTAACTTTGATTAACTGAGAACCAATTGTAAGTTTGTTGGTGTTGATGGCTGCTTTAGATTTCTTAGTATTATTGGCTGTGGTGTTGACAGTGATCTTATTTTGGGACTTTGTATTGTTTCTAGCAGTAGCAATAGCGATGTTGATCGGCTTGGTGGTAGTGGTAGTCTTAGGTTTAATAGCATTAGTAATGGCAGTGACATTAGTTCTAAGGGTATTTGGTTGTTTAGCATTGCTAACAACTGTTGTAGATCTGGTGAGGTTAATGTTGCTAGATCTCATGTTATTATTTATAAAATTTTTATTATTATTGTCGTTGATTCTTTTCTTTGTAATTTTTGGTTTCAGCAAGGTCTTTGTATCAAGCAGAGCGTCTTTATTTACACGTGAGAATGTTGATCGAGAAGTCATTTTTCATTTATTTTTATTTTTTCAAAAATTGAAAAATAGATTATGATGATCGTCATTTGTGTTACCACACGTATTTGATCAGTTATGACGTCACCCGTTATAATAAAAATGATCATTATTTCAGTCAAACTCAACTTCAATTTCAAGAAAAAACCATAACAAGATTGTCGTTATCATTTTTTTGGTGCGATCTCTATAAAATATGCTTACATATATATTTTTTTAAAATTATTAAATTATAACAAATGAAATAATTATAATTACCTTCTTGTGACGTGTAAATTGTCATTTATATTAGTGACAGGTTTAGCTTCTAAATCATGCCCTTGTTTATGTTTATCAACAATTCTTTCATTGTACAAGTAAATTGAAATGGTGGTGTACCTTTAAATAATATTTATATTTATACTTATGAATATTAAAAAGCTGATATAATAATAATAATAATAATAATAACCAATTTCACTTTTATCACCTTATCTAATGTCTTGATAAATTCTTTACCCTCTGAAACAATTGCAGTCGGAGATCATTAATTATTTCTATTAAATCTTTTGGGTGGCTACAGCATTCATTATTATGATGGTACACCTTCGATATTGTTGTATTTCCTGGTTTACCTGTTTCAAATATAAATATTGATGTTTTTGATGTTGCATATCTGATTTGACTATCATATATATTCCATGGTGGTGAGAGGGATTGGAAGAAATATGTTAATTAGATAATTAATATTCAACACACTAGTAACACAAGATTATTTTATCACCTTGTAATAAATATGAACTTTTGTTGGGGGAAAAATGCAATGAACCTGAGAAAATAATCGTTCTATCATGACAACATCGTAATTTGTATGGTGATGTGTGTATCTGGCCCATCCAACAATAACCGGCTACAACCATTTGCATTAATTTCTTGTATAATAGAAACTGTACAATTCCCAATGGGGCCAAATTTCCAGTTAGGTACAAAATAGTGCTCCATATCATTAATCTTTTCTATCTTTACATGTTCGAGTTGATTACCAGCCTCATTATAATTATGTCAAACACTAAACTAAATGGTGGCAATCCCTGTCCTGTGATCTAACCTTTATTTTAAAAATTGTTAAATCTAACATATATATATATTAAACATTCCATGATCATCATCTTTTGTAATATCGAGTTGTGCTTTGGACTCGCCACAACATCTTGTTCTAATAATAACGATATTGATGTTGCTTTTCTATATATGTCATCAGAGACACTTGTGAAATTGTAGATGCAAATTCCAGTACTAAATAAGATGTAGCCTTGTTGTAGGGAATCCTATTTTTTACTGTTGATCAATTTTCTCTGAAACAATTTGATAATTGATTGTCCATGATGCACCACCTTGTAATATCAATCCAACAGGATCGTCAAAACATTTTCACATTTATAATTATTTTCTTGCGCTACTGGTGGTGATGGCAACAAATTCAATGTTGGCACATAACCTCCGTTTCCTTTATTTCAGGTATAATATTACCATAACAATAAGCGTCTTTGACTTCCATCAACTCATACTTACCTGGTTATTGCTAATGAATGATCATATAAGTTATCTTCTTTTTCTTACTTATCAGGCTCGTCTAAGTGACGATGATATCCAACGTCCCATGGTAAATTTCTAGTGGCAACTCAATAGATCACCTTCACAGAAATATAACAGCTCATTGGCAAATTGGAAACCAGCAGTGGTTTATCTTTTTTTGACATTGATGGTCAGCTGATTAGATCCATTTAGTTTCTGTTATCCTTGTTAAGAACCACCAAGTATGCATGTGCGAGTATGTACGCTATTTACGAAACACAATTGATATAATTAAAAATGTAATTTATTTATTAATTCATTTTCTAAATTTTCTTCATTTTCTCCATGGATCGCTTCACCTTTCATAATTTTCTTGAAAAAATATTATTATTGCTTCATTTAATAGTTTATTAAAGTTTTCTATGAAAAATAACATCTGGGAAAACATTCTGGTATGACAATTTATTTATTTTTAAAAAATCACCTATTACTATTAAAATATATGCGTTTTTATTAGTTAATTTGTTTAGATGTAGCCTATTCCATCGATCTTTATTATATTTATATTTATGGCCGCGTAAAAGGGGAAATCCTAACTTGGTGATAATTGTACTTGACTTAACATAATGACTAAATAGTTTAGTCAGTTTAGCCAAATGCTCATCGGTTAATCAGATATTTTAAAATGTGTTAATTTTAATAGCATTAATGAAATTCCATGCAAATTTTAATTATTTTCATTATCATCAACCCTCCCACTAAATTAATTAGTGGCAATCTTACTACAAATAGATTTGGATATTGATTTAATTACTTGAGCGTTGATTGTTATTTTCTTTTATTCAAGAGAATTGAATTATTTTTAAAGTACATTAATTCGGGTCACTTGTACATTTTGATTAATTAGAGAATGTTATAAAAATATGCCATTATGTTACTAACTCAATTAACTATATATTAAGTAAAGAACGTCTATATAATAATAATAATAATAATAATAAATAATAGATCGTTGTTATTAACATTTTGTAACAAGTGTAAGTTTATTGTTAATATTAAATATACAATAGATATGACTTATAGTATATATATACTACATAGGGTTTCTATTCGAATAAGGTTTATTCGAATTATTCACTTTATTCGTTATGAATTTGAGTATTCGAATTAATTTGAATAAAATCGATTCGAATAAGAAAATTAATTTGAATAAGGAAATTAATATTAATTTGAATAAAGCAAATAATTCGAAAAAATTAATTCGGATAAAACAAATAATTAAGGTCCAAATTCAAGCTCACTGGAAAGATTGCTATTTATTAAAAGAAACATGAATCTTTCCTTATTAATTTCATTTTTAATATAATAATAAAATCAATATTAAACCTTGTTGTATATAGTTTGAATACTTAAGTAATTGAACAACCATGATTCCAAATAATCTAATAAAATGAATGAAAACCCAAGATTCCGATAATGAATAAAACAAATAAAACAAATAATTTGGATAAATTTTTATTCGAATAATTAATTCGAATTAATATTAAAGGTCAACTGTATTGAATAAGAATTTGTATTACGAATAGAAGCCCTAATACTAATATATACTACAGTGTGAGTCACTTAGTCACTGAACTTTCTGTGCCACGACGACAATTTTGAGAAAAAATAATCCCAAAAAATACGGTCACGTGATTTAAAGATCGTCAAGTCAAATTTTATCTAAGGTATTAGTATTAGTATAATATGACACCAAAGAATATCCAGAATGGTCCAAGAGAATGTCTTTACGAAAAAATGTGGAATGATCATCTATTTATTTAATAATAACTATCGTCTTGACCAAAGTGAAGTGATTTTTTGCTCTTTGCGACGAAGACACAATCCAAACCAATTTAACTTTAATATCAACGTGATTCTAAAATAAATAAATTTTTTATATTGCGTAGCATGGCGTGCATGATTGTGTAATACGTAAAAAAGCCATGCGTTCTCAGTTGTCATTATTATTATCACGTGATAAAATATTGGGCCATAAAAAATTTCGATTCTTTCCAATTCGTTCATTTTTAATATAAAAAATATGTGTAACATGCCATTTTGGGAACTTTTATGCATCATTTCCCTATGGTAACGTGGCATAACAATGAAGTGAAATCATTAGATTGCAGGGAAAAGGTCCTAGCTTTAATTCTATGATTTTGGTTTTTTTTTGGCCATACATTTCCATTTTTGGAGGAGTAAAAGAATCTACACAACCAATAAAAAGTTCAGCGACTAAATGACTCACACCATATTTGTAATAAATGGAAAGGAAAATTTAGCAAATGAAATCAAATATCCACTATGCTTACAATTCGTATATAATAATAAAGAATTTCGTACACATATATAAAAGCGGTACCATGTTACTGCATTCTGAATCGATGACCTTTAATATTACGTACGTTTTGTTAAAATTGTTTTGTTCATTGATTGGTCAGATCAATAATCATATTGAATTTCGTACAACTATAAATCACCAAAATTGGGGAATCTTTAATATGTTGTACTGACCAATTGTAACTCGGTAACGTAATGTCATTTACTATATGTATCAAATATTTCTAAAAATATTATTTTGAGATGAGAAAATAATCATCACTTAGAAGACTGAGATTTTCTTCTTGCTAAATCCCAAATGCCAACAATCATCATTCATGTTAGATTATGTACGGCGGTGATCAACCAATTAATAATTTTATTTCTTTGTTATTATTAAAAAACCTATTCAATGAAAAAATTTATTGGATAAAGTAAAATTCGTTGTGGATAGCATTATGAGCACCCACAATGTTCATTTGAAACAATCAAATCACAACAAAAACCTTACAAAATTCACCAAATCTATATACAACTTTTATTGGTGAGGATTAAAAATTTTGGTATTAAGTGTCTATTTGAAATTATTGATGCAATTTATGTTGAAGTAAAAGAGCCAAGTGTTTTTTTTTTCGTTTTTATGGGAAGGTTTATTTCAAAAGACTCAATTGCTTAATGGTAATAATATAATGCGATTCAATCTATTGATAAAATTTCCACTCGATAAATTTTTCTTTTGAAAGTAGTTATGGTCATTGTAATTGTTATATGCTGTGAATATCCAAGGCAATTCAAATCGCAAGAAATTTCATAATTAATAAATAATTAATTAACAATTAGTTATAATGAACAACATGTCAACAAAACTTTCAAAATTAGTCCCTTCCTCTTTCTCTTCCTCTAACAACAAAAACAATTACACCAACCGCGCGTCGTCAACAAGACAACAATTAAAAATTGTTGACGGCACCTTCCATCTTTAATTGTATTGATCTTTGTTGTTATAATCATCTGAAATTATTATTTTATGGCTTTTTTATATTTCGTTATTTAAATGAATTAAATGATAAATTAATTAAAGGCATGTATGTATTATTAGCACTACTAGAGTGATGCGCAATATTCGGTCTATTAGATCATTGGTGTGACATTTTGACTATATTTAGTATTTTATTAATAGTAATGGACTAGACTAAATTTGTCATAACAATAACAAAGTTCGCTTAAAAGGAAATGATTGATCTTTAAAACGGAAATTTAAATAAATAAATAATAATAATAATAATAATAATAATAATAATAATAAAAGCCTTCTATATTTAATATATTTGTAATTTTTTGTTCTAGAATGTTTGGTTACAGAGTCTGTCTATACATTCCAAAGCTCGACTTTATTTAGGGCTTTTTTTTTCTATAAACTAAAAAAAGCATTCTATTCCCTAAGGGCCTTGCCTGTTTATCTTAAATTTCATACTTGTATCGCTTTTAGTTGAAGGAGAAGATCCAATGTTGATTTTTATATTTTTTAAAAAAAGTTAATCAATGAACTTTACTAATATTAATATAGATGATGATGATGTTACACCCCCACCGGAAATTCCTTTGAATTTACGAAGAGTGATATATCATTGAGCATTCATTCATTTTATATTCATTTGGTAAACAATTGATTATTTAAAGAATGCGACTACAATGACCGGTGCAGTTTAAGATTTTGTGTTTTTTAATCACAATTGGTCTCAATGGACAATGATCGGCGGTGGATTTTATTTAAATAGGAGTGTTGCGCCACTGCTGAATTTTTCTCACCCTTTTTAAAATTTTGTTTTTTCTGATTTTGTCACGAGAAAGTTCGGTAACTCGTGGAATATTCTGTAAATCGCAACTTTTTTTGGTAAATCATCCCAAAAAAATAATGAATTTTTGGTGAAATAGCCCATATTTAGCAAAGTATCAGAAGCGTTGAAGTTAGCAACATTTTTGAATGATGTCACTAGGTTTTCTTCAAAGTCCTATAACTATATATAGAAACACAGTTTTTGAACCTCATTATTGTACAAAGTTAGCCATGCATGCTTTAGGTAATCGGCGCCATAATTAAATTTACGTTACACACGGTTTATTTGAATTAATATTAATATTTTTATAATTAATATAATTAATACTTTAATTAATATAATTAATATTATTATTTTTTATTCACTTCTATTTTTAGAGATTTTACTTTTTAAACTTTTTTCATCATTAACTATCATCATGTAAATACTGTGAAAGGGGAATATAAGAAGTTTCCTGAAGATCCAAAAAGTTTACGGAGGAATTTAAATTTTGTTTCAAAATTATTATCGTATTGTAATCATATATAAATACTTCAATCGTGTGTGTTAATATTATTATTTTAGTATTTATTAATAACATATTAGTATAAATAGATAAATTAAAAAATTTTTAAATTCGTTTGTTTTTCGCTCATTCGTTCGTTTTTTTTTTCATTCTTTAATATTAAAAATATTAAACAAAATTTTATTTGGTAACATTAAAACATAAACAATTTAACCTTGATCAATAAAATAATATAAATTAATAACAATTCTTTAATAAACTAGTTTATGGCAATAACATAAGTTTTTTTTATTTCTAAAATTATTTTACATTCATTTTTTTTTCTAATTTTAATTAATTTAATTACAATTACAATTTTTAATTTTTAACATTTTCAAAAACATCTCAATCTCATATTTTCCTTCCCATTCATTTCATTTAATGTAATCTATTTCTTACTAATACTACTAACTACTACTATTTACTAATAATCAACAATCAATAATCAATAATCAATAATAATAACAATAACACATTGATATCAATAACAAATATTAACAATCTAGCAATAACAATAATTTGCACATTGGCGAAAATAATAATATGAATTTGTAAGTTGTTATTCTTTACTTTTGAATAAAAAAAATTTATCCACCGCTAATTCTTCTTCGTTTTGTTTTTAGTAATTGTTCAATACAAGTACGACTAGAAGGTCATGATAAATTAGTTGATGTTGGTTATTCACAAGGAACTTCTGTTCAAGCTGTACTAGAGAGGGTAACTTGTCAATTCATCCATCTATCAATCTGCTGTCTGTCTGTCTGATCAATTGATTAGTTTATCGTTTTTTATTTCAATAATAATAAAATAATAACAATTTTTTTTTAAAAGGCGTGTAAAACTTTGGGCATTTATGATTCATGGAATTACGCTCTTTTCAGTGAACTATTCAAAGATTGGATATGTGAATCAAATTTATTGTCTTCTCGTCCAGCTGAGGTATGGTCAATATTAATAAAAATATATATATATGTTTTTAAGGATATATTTTATATTATGAATTCGATGAATCGTTAACATGTACATTATTTGTGCATTTAGGATACAGTAATAGTTCGTAAAAAAACACCTGAATACATTGAGCTTGTGTATGAGGAAGAACATCCAAAAAAGGTTTCTATAATACCCATTGTTAATATGATAACTATTAATATACATTCACACAAAAACAATCGATATGTGTATATATATATTTACTGATACACTAATTAAACATCCAATCCTCCTCCTCCTCCTCGACTTACCTTACCATCTACAGAGAAATAATTCATCAGCGTCACTAACTCCAAGTTCTGCCACTCAGACTAAACGTAGAGGCGTTTTCAGTAATACAAAAATTACAAAAACCTGTCTAAAAACAAAATTCCAATCCGATTCAATCTACATTTCTACAATACTGTTCACAAGCGACAGTAAGATCTTGCTGACTTCCGGCACAAGGATGTTTCCAACCGTGGAGATCGTACGTGATAATGTGATCTATGGTAATTTTGAGGACGACAGTGATGAATTTGCTCACGTATTAAAAACTTCTTTGGATTGGGCCACTAATATACACAACAACAACCATGATAATGATGAATCGAGTGACACTGATTCTTTACATTCCTCCCATTCAAACTATGAATTTGATAATTTAAACAGCAACTACTCAAACCTTCAAAATCAATATTACGGCGATCAAGATAGTACTTGGTCACGTGAATTTGGCAGCGCTGCTTTAAAATTGAAAAATGAATTATCTCTGGAAACTTTAGGAACGTTGTATGAACATGTGGTAAAAATGAGTTCGATAAAATCAAAATTTATTATCACTGTACAACATGTTCCAGACAATTCAAGGGAAGACATTGCTCCTGATCTGATAAAGTCTGGCATTCTGAAATGGAAAAATTTCAATGAGGCCAGTTCAATTTACTATAAAGAACCAACTCATCCCATCTGGACTAATTTCATTGAGAAATGGTGTTCCAGGCAAACAAAGCTATCCCCTGGTCTTTATCTAGGCGTTCTATACACAGAAAGTAATCTACAAGGTATAAGAATTTTAGTTCCAAAAGATCGTAAACAATTTATTCCTTTGGGTAAAATACGTGATGAAGCCACTATAACTCCCGAGGAAGCCAGTTGGATAAAATCCTTAGCTTGTCTAAGTCAGGACTGTTTTATGGATTTGTCTACTTCTGCTGGAAATGACGATAATAAGTCAAATTTGGGTCAATTTCAATCTTCTTTTATAGAATCTTATTTCAAATTACAAAAAGATACTAGTTTGATTTGGGATTCTAGTGATATCTACAATGAACAAACCATAGATATTTATTTGGATCTACAGACTAATCAAATGTACACCATGATGGGTGGACTCGATGATAACACTGCTTCATCTAATAATAATAATAATAATAATAATAATAATAATAATAATAATCATAATAATAATAATAATAATAATAATAATAATAACAACAACAACAACAACAACAACAATGATAATAATAATAACAAACCTTTAATAATGAAATTAATCCCAAATTAACAAAGAAACTCTTCTGACGATGAAGAAATAAAGGGCTAGTCTTCATACTAATCTTGTATAAATATTTTATTTTTTTTCTGTTTAGCGGCTATACGGATTATAGTGAAACCTAGTGAGAGATAATTTAGAAAGTAAAGCATAATAATAAATATATATTAGCGGAAATTATTTTTATTTGTGACTCGGACACGATCTCAATTATTATTAATCGAGGCTTGCTTTTTACTGTCATGAGCTTGAGTTCGTAAGTGTTCGTCTATTACATATTTTCTTTCATAATTACAACATGTGAAAATAGTTTATTATTGCTTGCATAATCTTCTTTATATTTTGAATATTTAACCAAATATTCGTGAGCTGAAACTACTGTATCATGAAAAATTTAAATTTTAGTTTGGTATCACGTAAAAAATCTGTTATTATTTTCTTTAATCATTGAAAGTTGAGAACTTTTTCGCCCCCACGCCAAGTAAGTATAATCGGGTTTGCCTAACATTTAGTATTAGGATGAGGAACCTGACCAACTTTTGTGTCCTTCTGATCAGATCAGAGAATGGAGCGATGAGGATAATTTAAATATTCGAGAAACTAGTTTCACTTGATACTTGCCTTGAGGGGAAATAGAGTATAAATTTTATAAATAATTCTTTCGAATTTCTCCAACTTCTCAACCTACACAAACTCTAATTTGCTGAGTGGTGACAACGTAATCTTTAACATTTAAAAATTTGTCTGTGAAATAATAATAATAAGTAATTTTCTTGTTGTTTTCATCCTCTTATATATTGATAATTTAATAGACTTTGTGCATATTTCTTACCAATTGTTACTTCAATTCTATAATAGTTCACAATCTATTGAGTTTTTTTCATTATCCAATTTGTTAAAAGAGCATTTACATACTTTGGAAAATATTTTGCAATCATTTTAGGAATTGTTAGAAAAGTTTTCTCATTTTTAATAATACTAGCTATAATCATTATAAGCTTTTCACATGCATTTTACATTTTATTTAGGAGGATTATACAATAGACAGCCCTGATTTCAGAGATAATGATCCCAATAATCCTTTGGAATCTTGCTTCTAAATATTTTACATAACCAGAATTCAACAACCTGATGGAAATACAAACATGTTTGCGCATTTTCATACCTCAATGCTGCTGGCAGTGCATAATTTCCTCACACATTAATATGATTTTAAAATAACATTTTCAATATGTTCACTAAAGTATTGATAATATAATGGTTTTTTAGGTGATAGTGGAGCATTTGGATATTGGTAATTAAAATCTGGACCATATCTGGTAATGCTATTTGTTTTATTTTCATTTGTTGTTGTAGTGTATTTATTCATTGTTCTTCTAAGCAATCAAATTGAAAACTATAATATAAATGAAGCATTTTTGGCTCAAAAGACAAAAATTATATCAGAGATTTAATCATTTTATTTATTTCCTAATCAACATTGTTGGAGAGAATGGTTTCCTGATATTTTATAATATACAAGTTTTATTTTATCTTATTTTTTTGATAAATTATTATAAATCATTATAATTGAGACCTTTTCTAGTAAAATAGATTATTACAAAGTTGATAATAAAATCTGTAATTCCTTGTTTACATACAAATTTAACTTTGAAAGATAATACAAAATTCAAATTATGTAACACCTCAGTTCCTCCCACTGTCGACTCCAGATTGAAAAAAGTAGCAATAACTTTGATAATTTTATTTAGATTTAGTAATATTATAACTTTCTTATTAATAGTTTTGATCTACTTCTCAAGAACAACCTTTGGACATGGCTATTTAATCGGTTAGCCATGACAATCAGAGGGGGATGGTTGCAGTAACTTTTTCTCCTAAAAAAAACCAATTGTTACCAACATATTAATATAAATTTTGATATTATTGATTTGGTGAATTAATTGATGCTTAATGAGCGAATAATTGATTATTAAATAGTTCTAAAATTGTAATCTTCAGAATATAAATATTTGCTATTCCTATTTTTCCTATCATCATCATCATCATTATTAGCATCATTGTTTGTTTCTTTTAATCACTCATCAATACCATCAAATGTAATACACTACTACTTTTAAATCTTCCTCTATAACCAGCATAACTATTTGTAGTATACATATTTGAAATATTGCTACTCCTTCTTATATCATTATTTCTTCTATTAATACCATTTGCAATGCCACAAATTCCTCTATCATTATTACCATTTGTGATATTGCTAATTCTTTTAGTGTTACCACTTGTGATACCATTCTTCTATTTTTTCTTTCACCGCCACCCTGATGATGGTGACAATAATGACACCTTCTTTTACTAAAATCATGTCTAATATCACTGTCTTTTATACCTTTTATTTCCATGCCTGAAATCACTGTGTTCTTTATTGCTACTAATGTTATAATGATGACTTTGAATAATTCTGCTATCTTTTAACTTTTCTTAAAGTTGATGGTGGAATAACAGATTCTGAAATTTGTATGTGGGCTCAACCTGATATTCTTAGTATAAAAGTTGGTGATGTTTTGCTTGCTGTTGGAATTTGGGAATTTGTGAATTTTAGATGAATTAAAAGATGTTAATACCACCAAAGATTATACAATATTTGTTCTCAAAATTACCAAAGAAGTTTAAAATTTTTTATTTCATTTAAATATATATATATATATATATTATTAATTTATAATATGATTTGTTCACTAATATTTTCATCATTGTTTTCATTATTGTTTATTTTATTTCTTTTTCTAAGAATATTTGAAATGAAAAATTCTCCTGCTTTGTAACTACTTCTTACTAAAGGACCAGATGCAGTGTATAAAAATCCTAGATCATTACCCACATTTTCCCAATATTTAAATTTCTCCGGTGTTACATATTCATGAACTTTCATATGATTTTTTGTTGGTCTCATATATTGTCCCAGTGTAATGCAATCGACATTAATATTGCGAAGTTCTGATAATTCAGAATAAATTATTATTTACAAAAAATACAATATATATATATATATATCAATTAAAAAAAAAATAATTAATTACCCTTTAAGGTGTTCATTACTTCTTGATCTGTCTCACCAACTCCTAACATTATGCTTGTTTTTGTGATCATATATGGTTTTATGCTTTTAACATGTTCCAATACTTTAAGGCTTTGTCTAAAATTGGCTCTCCTATCTCTCACAAAAGGTGTTAATTCTTCAACTGTTTCTACATTGTGTGCATAAACATCTAAACCAGAATTTGCCACCGTAGAAACACAATCAAGATCACCTTGAAAATCACTAGTAAGACATTCCACTAATATATGTGAAGCTCTTAAAACAACAATAATAAAATAATTCACATTAAATAGAGTTGTTAATTAAATTTATAAATCCATATTTTATAATAATCAATTATTCACTTCTTTTTTAGTAAACGTATGGTATTTGCAAAATGACCAGCACCACCATCTTTAAGATCTATAAATTTATTTTTGTAGAATAATTTAATTATTATCTATCAAAAATATTAAAGTGTATATATATATATATATATTTACCATCACGATCTACTGAGGTTAACACAACATAATCTAAGCCCCATCTTGAAATTGCCTCAGATACATTTTCTGGCTCATTTGGATCCAAAGCCTTTGGCTTTTTATTGGTTTTTACAGAACAGAATCTACAACCTCTAGTACATTCATTTCCCATCAACATTATAGTAGCTGTCGCTGTCTGATGTTTACCTCCACCCCAACAATCACCAATATTCGGACAACGAGCTTCTTCACAAACCTATTTGAATTATATATATATTTTCTTGATAAGATGCTGAATTGAGTTATTCGAAATTAGTAAATTAACTTGCCGTATTAAGATTTAAACCGCGTAAATCATTTTTAATTTTTGTGTAGTTTGCTCCTACAGGAATTTTGGTCTTTAACCATTCAGGCAATCTTGTATATCTATATGGATTCATGAATGAGCAAAAGGAATAAATAAATGATTTAACATTTCAAAGGCTATTATTACTCACCTATTCATTATTTCTCCGTGTAACCTCAATTATTCATCAACTCAATCAAATCAGTGCAACATACTTTGTAACAATTTAGAAAAGATTGTCAATATTTTGGTAATATTTAGAAAGAATTGGCAACGATACTATCTCTCTCTGGAAATTTTCGATTCACAAAATTGATTGCGTTGTATAAATCTTTTGATCATTGATCATGATTATTGATCATTGATCATGATTATGATCATGATCATGATCACTCTCCCAATTTTTTTTCAGAGGTTGTATTTATAAGTAAAAAAAAAATGAAAAAGAAATCACTTGATTAAAATCAAGCCTTTTCCAAAAATGTGTTGTTAAAGAAAATTAATTAAGCTTTTTTTG